ACAAATTGTACTTTTTAATGCTATCAAAAAGCATTAAAATTCAGAACCCACTTACCTAACTGTGTTGTTCTTCCTACCCCACCCACACCATGCCTGTCCCCTAATTCAGGATCCTTCCTTGCCTGTGGTCTGACTGGGGGTAAGGGATATTTTACCTTCTTAGGGATAGCTGCTGCTCTGGTTTGTTACATCTGATATTGAGAAAGAATAAAGCTAAAGCTGACTTTTATCTGTTACTTTATTTTTTAAGGTTTAAATAAAGTTTGTTAATTTGACCCTCCCTAAAAAAGGTGTTAAAAATTAACATTTGAAATAAAAAAACAGGATTCAGGAAATGTGATGTTTCAGAACAAAGGGGTCAGCTGTCCTAATTTCTAGCCTAGAAATGTTTTCCCAAACAGGATATCCCACACTCAGAATATCCATATGTCAAATCTCTTCATGAGTGCTTCTTTGTTATAACTTCCTTTTTTAAAAATCAAAAATAGGGGGCCGGCCCGGTGGCGCACTGGATAGTGCACCGCTTGGGAAGCGCAGCGGTGCTCCCACCCGAGGGTTCGGATCCCACATATAGACTGGTTCCCGCTCACTGGCTGAGCGAGGCGTGGGAGCAACGCCGAGGGTTGCAATCCCGTCGCCGGTCCCCGGTCCGGTACGGGGGCGACACTGAGGATTGTGATCCGTTGCCGGACACGGAAAAAGACAAAAGACAAAAAAAAACAAAAACAAAAACAAAAAATCAAAAATAGGTATTTCCCTCATATGAAAAGGAATACAAATTCACTGAAGAAAATGAGAAAATAAACATAAGGTAAATGAATAAAATATTTATAATTTTATCAAACCAAAGTGATGATTATTATCCTATCGTGGCTATGAACATAAACAAGGTTACTTCAAAAAGTTTGTGGGAAAATAGAATTGAGAGGTAACATAAACCTTTCCATGAACTTTCTGAAGTACCCTCATATACATTTTTAATTGTAAAATATTTTATACATATAAAATAATCTTTAACCATTTATATGATATAAATAAATTTAAATGATATAAATAAGCACCTGATCAGCTTCTATCCAGCTTAATAGAAACTATTAATAATACTGAAAATGAAAACTGTTTGTGATAATAAACATAGCCTTAAGCATTCTTATGGTTAAGAAATGTTTATGCCTATCATTAATTATTGCTTAAGGATGAATTCCTTATAAGAAATTGCCATGTCAACGTGCATGTGTATTGTCCCTCGTATGTGTGTGTCTTCAACACTTTCACAGACAAGGATGATTCATCTTTTTGATAATTGAAGAAGCAATGCTTTACTTGGTTCATTTCACTGTGTTCATGGGATGGAGAAAAGGATTTTGAGACTACAAGAACAAAAGTTTTCCTACGAGCTCTCTTCCTGAGTTTGTGGTATGGAAAGTACTGCTATTCCTATACTCCCAAAAGGAACAGGAGGGGACACCAGCCATGGCAGTGTGGGAGCCCAGGGCAGGTAGGTGCCCCTTGAACAGCAAAGTCCACTGACCTTGAAGCCATCAAAGGCAAAGGCACGTTCATCCGAGCCGAGCTCCTGATCTGGCTGACACCCCGGCCTGCTCCAGCCAACCCTCATGTCTCCAGCAGTGACGGCCTCGAACTCAAAGTACCACCGTCCCACCCTCACCGCATAGGTCTTCTCGGCCCGGAAGATGCGGAACCTCTCCCCGGTACCGCTGCACACTTCGGCCCTGGCAGCTGTGGATTTGAAAGAGATTCTGGTGGTCATTACAAGGCAACTTGAAAGAGAAGGGAGGACTTCACATAACTTTAGTAATGAAACCTACAGCGGCGATGATAACGTTATCTTCTCTCCCTGTCTTGTGTCACATTTTACCAAGTGTTTTCTTATCTATGATCAGCCCCCTCAGATGGAACCAGCTTGAAGACTGGAGATTACACTGTGAGGCCGGTGGTGTTTCCTCCATGAGCCCCTCTTAACTATCCTTCCATAGAAGAAAACTACAAGTGGCTTGGTGGTTCGGTTATGGAAAATGAGATGAACTTGAAGACAGGGGTGGGAAGAAGACAATAAAAGAGATCTAAACTGCTTTGCCTAAGAAATGAATAGATATTTAAGGGTTAGAGAGAAGAGGAAAAGAGCGGCCATGCAGTGAAGAGAAAGAGAGAAACGCGAGAGAAACTAGACACAGCAGAGAACAGTGACCGATGACAAATTTCCCAAAAGGATGGCTAAGGGATTCACAAATGTGGTGCAGAACTTCTCCATTCTCCCACATCCTCACTGTTACCTGCTACACATACACATGTTTTCTTTAAGAGATCTGGGGGAAAAAGTAAAAGGGCCAGTATGAGGACCAGTGCATGGCAATGGGAAGAAAGTATCTGTGGGAAATGAGATGCCAGCAAGATTGAGAGAGCCAGAGGGGGCAGCCTCAGACGGAGGAATCTGCAGCCAGAATGGCCGGGAATCACAGGCAGTGGGCTCAGGGTCCACCAAATTGATACGTCGAAGGAAACAGTCACCTCAGGTAAGATCTGGGCTAGACACAGAGGAGGACATGTCAGTGCCAACATCATCACACAGCTCCTAAGTGGCAGAACTCGGGATCCCCCACATGCCATGGCCCTGTTCTCTCTGCTCCTCTGCCTCCAGTAGCGACACAGGGTTAGCAGGTACTGGTTAAATACTAGTTCTCATCTGTTCCCCTTTTAAGATTTGGGCAAGACCTTATAAATAATAAAAGTTTAATCATAGTTTAACTATTGGTTTGGTCTGACCAAATTAAAACTATAAAAATAATTGGTCACCAATATACACACAGTTAGATCACATATAACAATTTAAGATTAGGCTAAAGTAAAGGAGTGAAAAGAACACAGGCTGTAGCATGAGGCAGCTCCCTGTTATTGGCTTAGTGAATGAAATGATCAATACTGCTTTTCAATAATGGTGGTGGTGATTATAGAACTAATAAAAAATCCCAGTTTCTCTTTCTCCTGTTATGTTTCCAGGACATCAGGACTTTACAAGTATGCGCATGGTGCTCAAGGAACGCACACGAATTTTAATATTGGCTTAAATCACATCCTTTAGAAGGAAATTTAGTAACCAAATATAACTGATAATTTCCTCAAAAGCCCACTACAAATTTCTCTTGGTGTTAAGACATACCACTGGTCCCCTCCACTAATATAGGAAGTAGAAATGGGGGACTGTACAGAGAATGTGCAGCAATTAGAGGTAATGACAACACAGAATTTCTTAGTCCCAGCATTCCTTTTCCCGACCCCAAGCTGCAGGACCGTTCTTCTGTTCACTGATGATACTCATCCTGAACTTGAAATGAACATGCTATTCATATCCATCATGCAAGGGACTTCACGGCAATGTGCTTTCTTTTTTCTTTTTTAACCTCCGTGTAGTTCATAGCTCATAGTCTATATTTCTTAAATTAGTTTAGCGTAGGCTGCAGCCATAATTTAAAGAAGCAACAGCTTAACATTCTGTTTCTGGATAAAATACTTATACAAAATGAAAAGCTGTATCCACAGGAATTAAACAAACAAAAAAATCCAGGGAATCTGTAATAAATCTCTTTTGCACAACCTATAGCTTCAAGCACCTGAGCACAAAGTGCTCCATAAACACCCGCCAAACTGAATCTAAAATCAAAGACTCCCGAGCACTGGGTACAGCAGCCCAGGCAAATAGCTAATGGCTAGCACCTGGTCAAAGGCATAGACTGCTCCCCCAAACATGCAATTCTTATGCTTTGCTTATGATTTTAAACACGCTGTATTGATATGTGTTTGGTAGGCAATTCTAACTCATGCAAGTGTATTATACACATGATTTTTTATATTGTTATAATGAATATAATAATAATAGACGATAAAAAAGTTAGCAGATATATTCTTAACACACATTCTCAAGGCTGTTAGCACTGAAAGTAGAAGAAATTCAGAGATTATACCTTTAACAAACCACCTCAAGATTAAGGACGAAGTCTGAAAAGAGACCGTGCTCCCAGAACGCCACAGACCCGGCACAGTGAGAACACACAACCCATGACTGATCAAACAGGGCCCGAAGTAAATTTAGAAGACATGGACCACTAGAGGGCAGTCGAGATCTAATTATGTATTAAACATTGGCCTATAATAAGCTATAAAAGAAGGCAGGCTAGTCTCTAAAATTTTACACTGATACCTAGAGTCCTTTAGGTTCATTTATATATTGCTTTAAAAATTATTGGCATTAACCAGCCATAGTTTCAACCTCCTGATACTATTTTAAATAAAGCAATTCAAAATAAAAGCTTGTTATGAATAAGAATAAATTCCATCTTAAAATGTTTTAAAATATTATTGAGAACAATACTCTAAAGATACTATAACTCAGAGTTCACATTTAATCAAGAATATGTTAGCATCTGCTAACAAACAAGAAATAAATTATAACCCTGATTAGTTACAAAGGATAGAATAAATTAATCAAACTTTTCATGCCCTTAACTTTTTAAAATGTCAGCTACGGCAGTATAGACAATTATAAATTAATGTTTTGAATCTCATTGTAGCAAATACCAGACTTATTTTGCTTTATACCAAAAATCTGCCGCATCTATCTTTTAACTTCCATTTCCACCATCCTTGTTCAGAAAAACACCATTTTTCCGAGGCCTCCCAACTGGTCTCCCGACCTCCAAACACTCCCCCATCCAATCTGTTCCTCCCACCGTTGCCATGGTTACTCTGCTATTGTAAACCGGGATCACACATCAAGCTCTTGCTTTAAAACTTCCTGGGCTGGTACTACTTGCAGAAATGTATCCACATTTCTTAGCTGGGTTTTCAAGATATTCTTTATTTTTCCTAATCCTTCTACCTCCATCCATTACTGTTCTCTCCCCACCTGTACCCTATATTTTAGCCTGACTAGACTATCAACCATTCCTCAACTCTTTCTATATTTAAGCATATCAGATTTACCTTCCCTCTGGCAAGGAAGTCCTTCCTGGCACTAATATCTACTTGTTGACATTTTGATTCCTTCAACATCTAACTCAAAAACCAGTTTCTCCCTTTACTCGTTCCTCCCCTTGGAAAATTCATCTTTCTTATGAGTTTTCCATAAAGGTCAACTGTATACTTACTATGAGGTGGGTATGCAGTTGGATTCTAGGATATAGCGGTAAACAAGAAACGTGATCTCAGCCTCTATTGTGGAATATATAGCACTAGCTTCATGGTTCATCGCTCCCGTAAACTGATTACGATTGAATCTTGTTAATCACCCGTCTATGGTTCTCTCTCTAAATTCTTAAAATTCAGACTATACTATTGTCTGATCATCATTTTTCCTCCCATTTTTCTCCTTTCCTTTTACAAACACATTCACTCTTCAAACTCATTAGATTCCTTCCTTCTTTCCTTCCTTACCTATATAGCTTTCCATACCTTCTTTACTTACTTCTAAAGTAACAGGGTGTAGCTTTACCCTATTACTCCTGTACCTACTTGCTCTGTTAACCCGAATTCCTGTCCAATTTTACAGTCTTAGTTCTTAATATCCATATTTGCTCTGCTGAGCTTGCTGGAGAAAATACGAACACAACAGATGGGCACCACTAACTGAGTCTCCAACTTCAACTGGACCATTAATATTTCTCGGCAACCTCTTTATCTGTTTGCAGTCTGTTATCTGTTCTGTTCCTCAAAATGGCTATTTCTAATCTATATTGCTGAATGACATCACCAAGAATTACAGACTAAGGCCCTTTAAAATCCTCCTCTCCACAAAATCAATGAGAACATAGGTAAAACTTATCGAAATCAACTTTTTCAGAGCTCTGGAAATTAACTGAAGGTTGGCAACAATCCAGGGAATTTTTATTCAATGAAAATGTCCAAATGTCAGTGAAAACAACAAACTTGTTTTAATTTGCTCCTGTCCCATACTTCCACCCCCGATTCCATGGTATTTTGAAAACCAACAGCCCCTCAATCACAGTGAAAACGAGCCACCTAGAAGCCTCTGGAGCAGGCAGAACTGACTGGAGCTCTTCCAAATCCCAGTACCCAGATGACTGTCATTCTTTTACCTCTCTGGTACTTCCTTGGAAAATCTCATTTGCAAAGCTTGTCCTTACTCCACCTGACTTAGAGCTTGCCCAGTGTAATTAGTCTCTTCCCTAGGGATATTTGTTGAAAATCATCAGAAGCAATTTTTTAACATTGCAGCTTCTTGAGGTACCAATGATAGTTGAGACAAACAGATGACCAAGAAATCTAAAAGGAAAAGCTGAGGAATTAGGTGTCCATAGCAAACTGCAAAAATCTCCAGCATATTCCTGGGACTCTAGAAGGCCATGTTTATGCCCAGGGCTGTGCAAGCATTCAGAAAAGACCTGAGCAGGCCCTCAGCTCCCACTTCGGGAAGACCTTATGCCTCTGCATAAGCAGCAAACTGCATGGTTGAGTGTTGAAAGCATGTCCCTACATACACATGTTGCCCCTCACTCAGCAAAGACTGGGAGATTTTATCAGTCCCAGGCATTTAAGGAAGTCTCTGTCCTATCACTAGCTGACTACTAAGCTAATGAAACAGACTTCAGTGGCCACATGAAACAAATAACACAAACTCTACAAACCTACTTTAGAAAAATCACTAAGCAAACAACAAATAAAAAAAGCACAACAAACCCTGGGGTAGGGGAGAATCAAATAAAAAA